CCCCCCCCCCCCCCCCCCCCAAATGCTTTCGGCGCCAAAATTTAATTAGTTAATGCGGGAATCCTATGGATTTGGCGGGAAAATGGTCATCCATTCCTCACCCCCCCTCCCCTCCCTATAACCGAGGTCTCGCTACGCCCCTGAAAGTAATCAGTCTTCCTTCCTTGCTCCACGCCATTTCACCTTCCCATAGCTCCAGGCTGAGTCCATTCCCTGATGATCGTTAAATAAATAGTTTATCTCATTTTCCCCCCTCAGGGTAAAGATGACCTGCGACAAGATGCTGTGATGGAACAAGTCTTCGGGATGGTAAACCAGCTTCTTGCTAAAAACGCAGAGACCAGAAAACGGAAACTAAAAATCAGAACGTACAAGGTACTTCATTACCATCGTCATTGATATTATAGGAGGCTCAACAATAGAAATTCTTCCCCTGGGAAACTGAATTCTTTCTCATGTAAATCAGATAAGACCAGATTCAATTGTTCCTGCCTTAAGTCATGGCTGCCATCACGTGATGGTGCAGTGCCTCTATAGACCGTTTTTTTCAAGATTGCGTGCGCATCCAAATTTAAGGAACTTGACGCGCCACGATACCAGTACACGAGCTTTATGATGATATTATCATGCTATGAACTTTTTTTCGATAAGAATTCATAAAATTGATTATTCTCCTCTTTAAATTTAAAAATGACTTCTCAATTTTACTGAATTTGCGTTTTTCATTTTCGTGGCCCGTCCAGTTGGATGCGCACGCAACCTTGAGAAAACCGTCTATGGTCTCAACCAAAATCAGATGTCGTGAGTATTTCATCTTCAACCAGCTTATTACTAGGAGATAACTAAGTGTARGTTAGTGCTYATTCTCGTACCCAAGCCCTTCTCAGCAAAAAAGCAAGAAGGCTGAGAAGGGTTTTGGTACGATAAAGGAATTGCCCTACTTCACTATGACGTCACATCAAAACAATCTTCAACAATCTATTGTTTAAACGCAAAGGATCATGGTCGTCGGACG